AATACTTTTATGTAATCTGTGACGAAATCGGGGATTCCCCGTTCCATAAGTGTGAGCATATAGTGCAAGGGCGCATACAGCGGTACTTCCTGGAGAAGTTTCGTGGCAAACTAATGTAGTAGTCCCTCCAAGACTTACAAGGTGACCGGAAATCAACGGTTGGACGGTGCCGGACATGATAGGAGCATTAGGCCATACACTTCCGAGGTTTGGTTAGTATGCAACACTTCACCACGGGAAAACATCGATCATCGGATCGCAGCATATCCAAAAGAGGTTAAGAAGAAAAGAACAAGATCAGCCAAATCGACCCAAATACATTTTTATCTTCTTAATATTAACTAAATTCTCATACGTTTTTATAACAAAACTATTTGTTTGGATTCTTCTATGTCCTTAGCTTAAAAGCCGTCTTTTTTGTAACACTTACCAGTTAAATGCAGTAAAACAGAAAGCATTATTAAATTTTAAATCTATTTTTCCATTTTGTAATTATGGTTTCTATATATTTAATGATGGGTTCATTAAATACCTAAATAACTACAAAATTGTTCATTCACTACCTTGTTTTTAAGGCATTCACACCTAAGAAATTGTAGAACTGTAGAATTTGAGTCCATCGCCTCCTTCAAGTGTGAAACTATGTAAGTTGTCAATGTAATAAACAGGCTTTACAGCAGACCAGACCAAACAGTCAACCTCGAAGATAGCAGAAATAAGCTGCTATTTCTGAATATCATAGACAACCAGATGCAATAAAACGTCTAGCATGGTTCATTTTGTTCCGGGATTAAATGTTTATATTTTATTTATGGGAATCTCAAACCTCAGTTCCAATTCTCACATCTACTATGGCATCTTCGGCGGATGCGGTACACTGGGCGTATGATCTTAGTAGTCGGGCCCAACTGAGCGCAATGAATATTCTCTCTCTCTTTCCAGTATGATCGTCGTCACCCAAGATCGGTAAACTCAGTAAGTTAAGGTTGAAACTTCCCCTTACCTCAGTCCCCGGACATCATCACTCGGCTACCCAGTTACCAAAGCGCATATTAATGCTCCCTTTTCCAACTCCTTTTAATGCATATGGCACTCTAAATTTGTTATATATGTGTGTATGTCTTTAGTCCTTAAAATACTTACTTGCATTACATTACATCACTTACGTATCCCATTAGAGTAATGGTTTATTATAATATGTGCCACACATGTGCCTTGCATCTGAATAGGCATTGAGCATGTTACACCATGTGATGTAGCTGTACTTATTATTATTATTATTATTACATAAAATAAAAAATAAATAATTTTTTACAAAATAATGAAACAATCAATATAAATGTAAAATAACAAACGCAGATATCCATTACACCTTATAACATTTAATGCATTTGAAATATCCTTTGCACTCGAAACTTACATGTCCTTTTGAGTCTTTGTTTAAATTTGCTTTTATGAAGATTGGTTATTGTTTGGTATGACTTTTCTAATATTAGGCAACATCGTTTTTGTCCTTTAAGATTATGATCTTACTGTTACTGCAAAAAAATGTATTTCGCATTCCATTCATATTTAAAAGTGTAAATACGACAAGTATATTTGCATTAGTTTATAAAGATGGGCAGATAATTGAGATCATAATTATTCTTAAAACAAGTAAATAAAAGCCCGTTTAGAAGTAAAAATAACGTGAATATAGACAAATTGTAATAAATATTACTATTTTCAAACAATCTACTGTTTACAATACTTACTATAATGTTAATAATAAGGGGCTCTAAAGTCACCTGTGCATGTTTCCCACATTCTTTTTTCTATTTCAGTTACGTGTTCGACGCACTTAAAAGTGATGTTATGCTTTGGTACAAACCATTTTACTCATGCCCCCCTAGCAATTCTATGGGGTTTAATTAAGTGATATGGCGGACGGTGAAGTACATTTCATTTGGAATCGTACTTCTCTTTGTGGCCGCGTTTATCCTCATATATAAGTCGATATACTGTCCAACTTGACATTTTAACTATTTGTGCAGCTCCGAGTTGGTACTTGAGTTTTATTAATGCGTTTCTCAGCAACAAATGGAGAAACACTAGCTATTTTCAAGAGAAAACTTTGCCAACATCTGCTGAAAAGTAACTGTAATCCTATTTTTTCAAAAAAATTTCACAGGCCCCTATAATTACTGTTCTTCTACTCCCGTCTGTAAAATACCTAGTTACCCACCGATCTAGCGTGCGGGAAGCGTCACTTTACCACGTCAGTTTCGTTTCCCACGAATGCGAGCCACTTCGGACATTTCCGGGATTTTACCGCGCGGATTTGGGAGCAATCCGATGTTTTTGACGTTTGTCGATTCTGTCATGTCAGTGAATGCATTCGTGTTGTTTTGCAAAAATGTACCCAAAAACTAACGGTCGTAGAAAAAGTATAGTATGCAACACGTTCGGTAAACTTTTTAACTCACTCGTTTATTAAAAACTCGCTCCGCTCGAGTCATATAAACTCAATCAAATACCGTTTACCGCACTTGTTGCATAATATACTATTACGACACGTCTGGATTCTTCCTGCGTCGGTTGTTATTGAATCAAACTTTCTTACCGTTCGCCAATCATTCTGTTGGCTTCTTCAGAGCTTGAGAAACCAACAGGATGATCGGCGAAACGTTAGCAACTTCGATTTATCAACAACCGGTTCAGGAAAAATCCAGAAGTTTAATAAATAACTATAATCCTAATTTTAAATACTAAGACACAGTTATAGATCAACTTCCTCTGCGTCAACGTGCCACTCTGTCAATATTTTGCTGCGTTATAGGTATATTATTTTTTTTGTTTTATGTAAGATATGATATATTTATCAATTATTTAAAAAGTACCTCTCACGATTTCCAACGGTCTATCAAGGAGTAGGCAGGTAGTAGGTAGTACATTAGTATAGCGGGTGAAATTTTAAGAACAGCTCTGAGAACTATGAAGAATAATAGAGCCATGAGATCTATGAAGAACAATAGAGCCAGTGGTCCAGAAGGAATACCTATGAAATTGTTGAAAAATGCTTCAACAAAACTCATAGGTTTATTAACAGTTCTTTTTGAAATGTACATAAATGGAGAAATTGTACCGGAAGAAAGCAAGATGGCACTTTTACACAAAAATGGTAGGAATGATGATAGGTGAAGGTAACTGGCGCTGTCAGTCGATTATATTTTAATACTAAATTAAAATATTATCGAAAACGATATGCGCACCATCAAAAATTGAACAGCAAGTCGGATTTAGAGCAGGCGGAACATTTAAGATAATATTTTTTGTTTAAATCAGTTAACTTCTATTTGTAGATCGAACTAAAGCATATCTATAAACAAACTCTTGGAAGTACTTATGAAATTGCCCATAGATGCCTTAAAGGAGTTATGTTGGGTTGTTTTCCAGTCTTAGACAGCATTGCTGCCTATCCTCGACGTTATTCAAAATATAGGAATAGACGAATCGTTATGAGGTAAATAAAAAGATATATTTGTTAGTAAATCCAAAAAAATTAAAATATGTAACCATCTGAAAATTGTAACTAAATAGAAGCATGCCATAAATATATATAGTTGAGGACTAGGATAGATTATATTATTTGTACCGAAAGAGAGATAAAAATATAAAATGGAAAAAATAGTTGGCTAAGAAGATAAGTAAAGACAGAAAATAACAATTATATAATACCATATTTAAAAGTGTCCTTCTGTATATATGTGAAACCTGGCAACTCAGTAAAACAACTGAAAGAAAACTGCATTTTATTGAGAAGGCCGGCTGGGATACCTAGACTTGAAAGAGTAACAAACGAGAAGGTTGGGGATATCACGAATGTACAGAGAAATAGAAGTTTCCTGCTTTTGTTTTTGAGAAAAAAAAAGGAATGCACTTATGTATTTAATTTTGATTGTCGTGATCGGAAAATGTACTTAGGGTGGTTTGTATTTTTTTTCTCAATATCGGTCGTATATATAAAAGGTTCTAACCAAGTTAGGCAAATAATTTTGTATTTCAGAATCTACCAGCAGTGCACGGTAAAAAATTCTGGGGAAAAAAGGGGCATAAGCTTTTAAGAAATAGCGCACTCTTGATTCTGACAACCGTTTGTTACAACTGCAAGGAATTATAAAAAACAGTGTTTGAAAATTTAAACTTCAACACCGTATGGATAGATAACAAAACAATTGCATACCTATGTTTGACTGAAATTTAAGCACAAGAATATAAGCCCTATTCATTATACTTAAGAATACCATGTATTTACCCAAACATTTATTTTACAATTTCATAAATTGGTAAAAATTTCAGAAAAACTGCCTTATTTACCTGACAGTTATAAATTATTCTAATTTTCACAAAAAAGTTCAGTGATTTTTAATATGCAAAGTCGAATGAAAAATAAATTAATAATTTATTTTCTAGGTATATCTTTTTATATTCTGGTCATTATTTCCGCATTTTGTGTTCCGATTGGTTTGTTGTCGGAAGAAGCCCAGGAGGGAGGTTTCACGTTAAACTCTGCACGAAAAACTTCTAGGTTGCACAATTGACGTTATAAATTGACCCAATAATATGCAGTTTTTGCAAGCAAGGAGTCATTAATTTTTCCATTACCGAATTACAATCCTCTCAGTTCCGATTTTGCGTCTGAAGAACAGTAAGTTTTATTTTCTGCAGAAACGATTAGTTTTTATTATAGATTACCTCACTGGATCGCTTCGATCAGATGCAAAATACACGACACACGACACAAAAATAAACATATCGCTTTCGGAACCGAGCATTAAAATGATATTTTTGTTAGGTTAGTTCTTCTTCATTGTTATTTGATCTCCAGTTTCTACGGTTCCCACACATCTTATTATTTTTGTGTCGTCTTGTCATTGGGTTGAGTGTTAAAATATAAGCAGCTTTCTGTAAAACATTTAATAAAAAGTACTAAAATACAAACGTAATGAATATATCGCGTAAACATTATGTATATTTAGCGCAGAGATGGCGCAACTTTACATGCCAACGGTTGTTTAACCCGACTTTTCTTAAATTCTATGTCGTTTCACTTCCGATAATTTTTGTCGTAATTTTATTGGCATATATCCATCTCTGTTGCCGCTAAAAATACAACGGAAAGTTTCCGAAACTCTGTAAGCACCTAAAATTTAACAATTTTATTTATAGTGAAGGCACCAATTTTTTTTAGTTTCCCCTTTTCGCGGTAACCGAATCAAATTTTACAGAAAGAAATCGTTGCCAATGATCCAAGTACGAAAGAACTATTTACATTTTGTACAACCTATTTGTTTATTGCATTTGAAAAAATATTTTCGAATATTTAATATTACCGTTGGGGCCGGATTTCGATTTGAACTACTTTACCTAAACTCCTAAACAGTTTGTCTTTTAAAAAAATACGTTAGAACTTTCGACCAGCGAAATTTTTTGTGCGACTGTACAGGATGATGGCCCGACTATCTTGAGACACTCTATCTTGGAAAATATAGGAGATGAAGCAATAGTTGAAATTATAATATCTAACTATCCTTGTTGAAGGCAGAGCTACTGAAGTAGAATTTTGTATAATATCAAAAGTATTAATAAAATGTCTACAAAAAATAACATTTAAAAAATATATATAATTCTTATTTTTTGATTAAGCTTTAAAGTCTAATGTAAATTTGGACAAAATTTTAGTGATTTTCAAATATAATATATATTCTGGTATAGACAAGCTAACCAAATTCAATTTTTTTGTTTGCTTTAGTTCTATGTCACTTTTTGTGCCCGTGTAAGCTGTTTTTGCAAAACTTGTTTAAGATATTTTTTAACCCAACTCAATTGAAAGTCTGAGTGAAACAGTAAACTTGAAAACATTGCTCAAAGCAATCACTTTGCTTTTGTAATGTAATTAAATGTGACTGATCCATCATCTGTCACGCCCTGCAACAGTTTAATTGAAGCTGGTTTCGTGTCCCTTATATCTCTGTCATCATATCGTCAATCATACATGAATGAAAAGGAGTAGACAGAGGAGTCTTTTTAAACAAGCCGAACATAACTATATTCGCTGAGGACTCACCACTTCATTTTTTTCCGCGTCAAACAAACTTCGCTATTTAATGTTGATGATAAATAGTTTTTAATGATAATCAATGTTCCCACATAAATACACTCGAGGACAAAATTATGGAATATTTTTTGTAATCACTAAAACTTCATTAGAAGTGAATTTGTATGTACTGATATTAATCATCTAGTTAGTCATATTTTGAGGTTTAAATAACATTAGTGGCATTTTATTATTGTTTCTTGCGCATTTTGCCATACAATATTCACAGTCTTACAATATTGAATATTTAAAAAGATATCACAACAGCAACGGCGATGACTTATTTTTGATGCTTAATTCTCTCACCTCACTCGCCTCAAAAATGACATATTAAATGCGAGTTCATAAACATTGAACATTGAAAGAAGCAAGCATTCAAAATCGCGAAGTTCGTCGATTACAATTTGCCAGAACACATATATCGTGGAATACGAATTATTAAAAGCAGATGTTATCAACCACGTATTTTAGTATGTGGCAAAGAAGCTGCAATTTCATAAAGACCGTTCGTTTTGAAAGCAGTGGTGGACTAGAACGAATACATCGGAAACATCTGCGAGGTCATGGTGTGCCATATATCGACCATATTGATGCACGTGCAATGCAGTCTAGATTCAAAGATTATATTGGCCACCATATAGCCCTGACTTAAATCCGATTGAACACATGTAGGATTTACAATAGAACAGCTTCGGCTTGATGAACCACATACCCAAGTTATGCTTAGCAGCCTGCCAAGAAGAATGAATAATTTTCACAGCGTTGATATTTTTTTTCATTATATTCTTGTCATAAAAATTTGGGATTGTTCACTTACGTTTATTATTAAAATAGATTTTTAGTTGTACGTAGTCTAAAGTCTGAAAATTAAAAAATATTCAATAATTTTGTCCATTTCAGAAAAATCTAGAATAATTTTTCCGAAAAGCAAATTAACTCTTGTTAAAAAAAAACATGTATGTATGTAAATGTGGTTTACGTTAAATGACCTATGATACCTAGCGTTCAGTGTAATAAATTGTTACTTATTGCGACAGAATAGGTTCAATTAGATTAATTAATTTAAAAGTCATTTAACGTTTGTCATTGAGTCATGTTAAATTTCCATGTGACTATTAGAAAAATTCTATTGAAGAAGATACTTTTCAACATTACATAATAAAGGTTTCCCTAGAGAAAAAAATTGTCTACGGCTTTACGTAGTTAAGCCGGGTGACCCAACAAGATTTATCGGGCAGACTAGTGAAGGGATAAATTCTAGATTAGACTGCCTTACATATCTAGTAATAATGCAGTAAATCACATTTCTTTTTGAACAACATAGTTTTTTCAAATTGAGACCTAGTGAAAAATCAGATTTTAAAACCGGTACTTTTGCAACATTGTAATGTTAAAATTTGGAAAAACCGTTAAAAAATAAGCTCGGCGGAAGGAAAACAAGCAAATCAGTATATACAATTGTAGAAAAACAAAATCTTGCATAGGTCGTTTTGCCTCTATGCTAACGCATCGTTTGTACATTTTTACCTGGTGTTAATTTATGTGCAAATGGAAAGAAAGACAATTTGTTTCTGATATACGAGAAACGCAGAAAAAACTCCGGACAAGGTCATACAGTGTATGAAGCTTGCAACCCGAGATGTCTGCCTGCGGATACTTTTTCAGAAGACTGTAATAATGAAAAAAATGTATCAACTTATTTACCGTAAAGCACTGTTAATAGCTCAAAAATCGTAAATATTTTATCTTTTGAAAATCTTTCAAATTCAAATCTTGAATTTAAAAAAAAAATTATTTTTTTCTTTGCGCGAGCTTTCCGCCAGAGCTTTTTCTACATTCCCAGTCCATAGCTCTATGGACAATGACAATAATACTTTAAAACAGTTACACGAACAAATCAGTAACCAGGCAAAAATGTTCAAACTGTCAGAATTTGAAATTGTGCCTCAGTAGTTGTTTTCTATAAATATGTAATTACTAAATTACTAATATGTTTTTTTTTCTTCAAGCGAGCTTATTTTTTAACGGGTTTTCAGAATTTTGGTTCCAAATGTTGCAAAAATTCCCAGCGTTAAAAAATGTTTGTTGCCATTATGAGAAAAAATGATCAGTTGATTACTTTAAAGGCTATTTCACATTGATAAGTAAGGAAAGGATAGTGTTGAACAATTGCAAAAATTGGTCGGTCTTAAGCTACCCAAATTTCGAATAGCTGCATTAAATCATTTTAAACTTATAGAGTGCTCCCGCCTTCTCGTATCGTCCGGTATATACCAGTCACAGGTTTTGATCAAACACAATATTGCATTTCTGTGTTTCTATTTGTATCTAACTTATCGCTTCATTTTCTATTTCTTCTGTCCCAAAATAAACTGACCCTCTATAAATTCATTAGGTACGTCTAGACTACGCCAGACGGCGATCTAATCAGTTTAAACTCTTCTATCCGCGTCCCGCGTCAAATTTGGATTCGGAGTAGGTCTCGATGCGTTTTCTTCTAGATTTTCCATTTGCTTCAGTTTCTTATGCCGCCCTAATAACAAAAACGTTTGGCATTTTGCACTTTAGATAGAGGTTCGCAACTTACTCGCAATCTTGACCATAATAACGCCCCACCATATGGACCAGCCCCAGCCGACAAGACAAAACAACACCGTGAAGCATTGACTGAAACCGATGATGAGGTCTATCAGGAAAGCCCCGATTCGAGGTTTAGGCCCGTCCTTTTGGGAGAACCGCGGCTTTCCGATGCATAGGCAGAAAAAGCCACTCAGTATGGTCCCTATGGGAAACGATATGGATCGAGGGTTGAGCCTGGACTGCAAAAAAATACCTGTTCCTGGTGCGATACAATTCATGACGCAGCAGAACCACGCTAACCATACCGGTAGGATCGGTATGGCCGCTTTCATATGGGAGGTGTGCTCTACGAGCGAGGCGTCGATTTTTGGGGTAGTATCTTCAGGTGGAGGCAGAGTGGTCGGCGTTAAACTCTTCTTCTTGCTGCTGATCATGGACGCTTTACGACTAATAGGCAACTCTTCGGTTTTTTTCCTGCCGCATAGAGCCGCGCATCCGAGACACACGTTCACGCAAAACAGAGCCCGGAAGAATTTCTTGCACATCGTCTTCGAGCAGCATTTCGCGCTTTCCGCTTCAGCGGTTTCGGCGAGGCTTTCCGATCTTTCCAGCCAGCTACCTTTCCGTTTCCCGATCGGAAGACAGCTCTGCATGTCCGCCACCCTATTCTTCTTGCAACACTTGAGCCGATCCCACAGTTTCTTCTTCTCCCCCTCCTCGTCCTCTTGTTCGACGTTGATGCGCACTTGGTCCGGCTCCGCAGTCTTTTTCTTCAAGCAAGCGAAGCATCCCGCGGCGTCTTCTTCGACTCGGGGCGTCCGGGTCGCCAATTTTCTACAGGACAGTTTTTCGGTACAGGCCCCAAGAAATCGTTTGCACGCGTTAGGGGGCGGCTCGTCTTTGGACACCGGTTCGTCCGGTGGCGTCTGATGCTGCGCGGGGGGCAGGCTGAAACGAGAGTTGGCAGTTAGCGCGCAAACTAAAAACGAAAAAACGGAAAAATATATAAAAATCACGCGAATGTAAATCGATATCGTTCGCACGCCACGCGGCCGTTTGTGTGCGAATAATTTAGGCTGTGGCTAACGTGTCATTATTTGTTTGGAGCCGAAGAAACGTTGCTTACAGAAATACGACGAATTGCAAAAATGGACCCTCGATCCGTTCATGACAACGAAAACGTTCATTTTTGTATCCGGTTTTTGTAATACGGAGGCGTAAGGAAAAAAGAAGTGTCCTGTCCCTATTACCACCCCAAATTTTATTGTACGACCAAAAATATAGCGCGTATCTTATCCGCAGACCTTTGCAGGACCGTGGTAAAACCCATACCAACAGATGTTTATTCTGCATTAAGTAGCTCTTCCCGGAGATGGACCGTAACGAATATTTGTTGAAACTTGAAATTTTTATTTAAAACGTAAATGGACCGTTTTAAATTTGATTAAAAATTGTTGCAGCGGGGTATTTCCGAATAAGTAGAAGAGTTTAACATCAGGTGATATGTATCATTCTTAAGAATTTAATCTAAATTGCAATATATTAGGTATTTGAATGTGATCCTTCTAGTAAGTACGTATTTATGTACCTGATTCTTGAGCTTTGACCTTGCGATGCAGTTTTCACTGGATAGTTCAAAGGGTAAGATTAAGTACCTGTACTCTATTTATCTTACAGTTAAGTTTGAAAATAATCATTTTTGTCTTGTGTCCTCTCGATGAACAACATTCTACTTCTTGTATTTTTGTGTCCTCTACATAGTTCTTCGATTTGTAAATAACAACAGTCTTTTTTAAGGCTATAGATTATATTCGCGATAGATAAAGGTACGTCATAATACAATTAAACATTTTTTGAAAGTTTCTGCTTTTAAACACTTTAAAATGTGGAGGCGTGGAATGAAGCAGATGTTCCCCAGTTAGAAGAAGACATGGAGAACAATGCAGAATTTGAAGACGAAGTGAAGACAAACTACCTCAGCAAATAAAAAAATGGATCCATTTGTCTTCGGATGCAAAAGAAATTGTTACTTTGTACCAATTTTTTTTATGTACATGTTTCAAGAATTGCTCGGCGAAAAAGATTAGAAACATACTTATATCCCGCTGTTAGTGTAGGAAGATAAATTCCTAGGACGGTCCTGAAATGGTTACAGGTAAGAGTCTGCTGGGCAGGGTGTTCTATAAGGGACTCCGGTTTTGGAGTAATAAACAGTAGGCAAAGTTAATGACGGAGTCGGTTGTAAAAGCACTGTAATTCTGGTTCAAGTATATGGTAAAAAAATCAGGTATTGGATTTCAAGAAGAATGCGCAATTTTTCCAGAAAATAAAAAATATACAAGATGGTTGAATACCAAGTTCCTGTTGGAACAGCTATTTTTTTAAATTTCTTAGAAATTGCGTCCAATCTGACGCATAATTCATTTAGCCTGAGAATAAAAAAACACAGAAATTAAATTTTGAAATGAGTTAATGCGCACACATTTAAATTGTCACAATTACATTTGTGCCGGTAAAGAAAGTGAATATGGTGCATCTAAATGAAACCCAGAGAATGAAAATTTTATTTGTTATTTTATCTGGAGACCAAACGAGAACTTCAAAAAATGTAATTTGTTTAAACGGGAACACAAGATTAAACGATTTATTGTAAGTTGATGATAATCACCATCGTGCCACTTCTGAAGTAACTTCGTTAGCCAACGAACAGCTTTGCTTGTATAAAATGAAATAACTATCGTCCACACAAAATTATATTACTATGGCGCTGAACGATGATGATCTCGGAAATGTGCACTGCGCAACAACCAATCACAATGGTAGTAATTTAACGAGTTGAAAAATGCTATATATGAAGTATTTTTTGAATTGTAATTGAATCTCCTAAATTCAATTTGCTTTAAAAATCTTTGATCATTTCTATAGATCGAGTGTTTAAATTATTAAAGTACTTAGTCCAGTCCTTCTAGGTATTTTGGTACCTGTTACTTGAAATTAGGATATACCAAACAAAAATTGATTTGGAGAAGTAATTTTTAAAGAAAGCACTTTTGTAGAAAACCGAAAGAACTTTCTCCAATAAAATCCTGATATTTTCATAAGTAACCTAATTTAAAAAATATTTTTCATATAGAAATATCAATTTTAACAGATAAAAGAGAATTATCAGTAATTTTCGTCAATTTATTGATTTATTATGCCTGATGCGCGAACTATTCCGAGGATACAAATTTTATAAAACTCATTAATGAAAAATATTCCCATATGATCAGGACTTGGCTTCTGGCTTACCAAATAATAAATTAGCATTTTATTTGGTAAATTGTTTTTTGAGTTTTAAGTCAATTTATTCATATTTTAGATTAGGATCAAGATATTGAGATGCGGTTGTTGTTCACTATCTAATAGCGTGAAAAAGTCGTATCGGATTTTATTTGCGACTATGTGGGTGGCAAGGTAAGCAATTACAATCACGTCATTCACAGCGCGATTGTTAATCTAGGAAAGCCCTTTTTAACGATTTCAAGTTTATTCACATGCCTTTATTTAAGAAAATGTTCGAACACCCCTCCACTTTCCTTGCGAAAATGTATCAGCTTTAATTATGGTTAACATTAGAAATTTGCAAAAAATTGTTTCTATTGTTTTATTCTGCAAATGCGCCGGTTTAAAAAATGGAAATTAAACTACTTAGTTGGTCTAGACTGAATTCTTTTTATTTTATTTTTTAAGTTAGTTACCTCTTTGAATTGTATCAAGCAAACTTTATTTTAACACGTTAAAACTATAGCAACTTTACATCAAGTTTGACTATTTTTATAGGTAAGGACCACACGAAATCTACAGTACCAGTTGTTAAAAATCAATACAAATTTTTATTAGTCTGACGATGCCATTTGATAATTTGATTGATACCCGATTTTTATAAGTGCGTTTGAAGATTTTCTTTGAAATCAGACAAATTTAAAGAAAACCATTAGAGTATTCATTATAGTCAATCTACGTCGTTTGATTGGGTACGGTTGTAGAAAAATAAATAAATAACTTTTTCCAATTAATTTTTTCTGTATTTTCAAAAATAACCTAATATTTTAATACTTCAAAAAAAATAGTTTTGACAGGTAAAGACAAACGTTTACTTTCGTAAATTGATTTATTGAGTATGATGTGATGAGCGAACCATCCCCAGGATCGAAATTTGCTTAAACTCATCAATAAAAAATGTTTCCATAAAGACTTTAGTGATGGCACTGTATATGAATTCGGTTTGGGCTTAACCGAGTTTGCAATTATTTCGCTTGGAGTTTACGATTAAAAGTTACAAGAATCTTCTTACGCAAACTTAGAGGAATGAAAGTGTGTGCTCACAACTATTTAAAACCGCGTTGTGCAAAAACTACTTCAAACTACTTAATTGCTGTTTACCCGTAACCGTTATATTCAACGTTCCCGTAACCGTCGTTGTCTTCGCGCAATGGCGTTACGTATATAAAAGTCATTATCGTTTCGTTTACGGTGTCGATCAAAAATAGCTAGTCAAAAAATGTGCGCACAAAAAAATGGGTACGTGCACGCCAAACCATCTAAACTATGCGTAATGTGGCACCCGAGAATAACACCAGACTGTACCATTTGTACTTGTCGATAACACTAATTCTAATCAAAGTCATATTGTCTGGACGAATTAAAATCACAAACACAACACTTCGCCTCGATGGTCGAAATATTATATTCAATGCGGTCAGGCTGTACGCAAATTCTACCCCGAGCTGGACACCGTCCAACTACCCCGGACAACAGTGGCGGCGATCTGAATTTTAGAATTCTCCTCCTCGATAATTGACGCCAAACGTTATGAGTAAAAGTAGTTTCAGAGTTAGGGAAAGGATGGTAGTGGCATCGATGGAGAACGACCAACGCCAATTATTGATAAAATTCGAGTCTTTTTCGTTGTATAGTATTTGCTCTCTTTACCGAAAAAAATCGTTTATTTTTTCCAAAAAATTAAATGCAGCGATGACACTTTTACTGCAATAAAACCTAAAAAAATCTTGCAACGTGTAGTAGCATTTTCTAATAGCAATGAATCAATTTATTTACTTATAAATGATCTATAATCAGGACCCTAGGTTTACAAACTAAAAAGAATTATTTACGATCTGCGATGAACAACATAGAAAACTTAACTGTTTCAAAGTAATACAATGAGGTTATAGGAGAACCTATTTATGTTTTTGGTATTTATACCATTTTCTGGTAACCTATTGAAAGTATGTATACTTCTAAATAGTGAAGAGTTTTGCGCTTTTGTGGTTCTCGTAAAAGGATTTCTTAAGCGATTTCAGCTTCGTGCTTTGTACTCATCAACAACACTTGTATATCCCATAACGATGTTCTCTGGCATAATTCTTGGGTTTGTGTATAATTAGAAAAAAAAAACAGTTTTAACAGCTTTGTTTTCTGTTCTTTTAGATATATTACAATAAATAGTTATACAAGAGTACTCTGGAGTTCTTGCACACGTATTCAGTACATCTTATTGTCCCCCTATTGGGACCATCTGTTTTACAATGCTGTTTATGTGTGCGTTCCAAATTAAATATTGGTATTCACTAATTCCTTTTAGTTGAAATATATATTTATATCACCTATTTTTTAGGTTTGAAGAAAACATAAGTGCGGTATCATCTGCATACATGAAATATTTTGCATTTAGTAGAAGGATACAACACTTAGCTGCCATATCGCTCTTCGTCATGTTTATCACGGTATCACTCTCCTTTTTGATGAAGTTTCTAACAATCTATATGCTCTATGCTATACAGTACTTTTTTTTCTATTTATGCCGACTCTAATATGTCTGTCGTAGTGTTATTTATGAATTTGAAATGCTTTTCTAGAAATAGGAATTTCCTTCACTTTTGCTTTAACTTGAAAATGCATGAGTT